CTATAACAAACTGACAAGAAATTAGTAAATGTTATCCAGGAGTCCGGATCACCTGCCCACGAGAACTCTGTCCACGCCTACGCACAATACACTACCCCCCGTGAATTGGGAACATCTCCCCCTACATAATACTATGCAGAGGATGAGATGTTCTCCATGTGTGGCTCCGATGAACGTGGGCAGAGTTCTCGTGGGCAAGAGATCAGGATTCGTTATCCAAACTCACCATCGGATTTATAGAGAACACACCAGTGAGGATACAAACAATTGTTGGGTCTTTTCCTTTGGAGTAGATCCCCTGTATTAACTCTTTCTAGAAAGGCTTCCCAACAGAAACTCCCAACCTTTGGAGGTATAGGTCGACACCACACTTCTTTAACAGGGAAAGATGATCCAACAGGAGGAGAGGGTAATAGTGCTTTGAAGAAAGAAGCACAAATGTAGGAACCCGAGGGAATGAGTGTTCCTTATTCTGCTATCTGTCTTTGATGGCTCAATGAACTGATGAAGACCCCTTCAAGAATGGATAGTAAGGCTAAAGTACAGGCTAACTCTATGTCCCTGACATCTCTTCTCAAACTCAAGTTCCATCCAAACCCAGAAGGTGAATTAGAAGGAAGAAGAAAGGAGGAGATTGGTTCATTTTTAAGGGTAGAAATAGCAAAAAGGCCTAGAAATTGATCTTTCAAAGAGGAATCCCCAACCCAAACATATTCCCAAAACTTAATGAGGTTACCTGAGTGCAAGTCGTACCTGATCCATGGAGAGAACAATGGCAAGATGGCTTGAATAGCTTTCCAAGGAGAAGCTCTTGTAGTCCTAGCTAGAATTCCAGAATCCCATCCATTGTCTACCAGCCTATGTATACTTCCCACTATCTTAACCCACAATCTTTCTTTCTCCAATGAGAATCTCCACAGCCATTTCCCTAGTAATGCTAGGTTCCTAGTCCTAATGTTCCCAATTCCCAAACCTCCCTCCTTTTTACCCCTACAAAACCACCTCCCACCTGATCCTATTGTCCTTCTCCTCCCCCAGATCCCACAAAAAATCTCTCATTAGTTTTTCCAGCCTACTGGCCACCTTAGCTGGAATCTTAAAGACTAACAAGAAATAGACAGGAAGGTTAGCCAGAGTAGACCTAATTAAGGTGATTCTCCCTCCAAGAGACAAATAATTTTTCTTCCAATTAGCAAGTCTCTTTTCAAATCTCTCCACAACAGGGGCCCAGAAATCGCCTTTCTGAGGATTATCCCCCATAGGTAAACCAAGGTAACTTAAGGGTCAATTAGAAACTACACATCCCAAAATGTCTGCATACTCACCAATCTCCCCTTCCCCCATATTGACTCCAACTATACAACTTTTCTCAAAGTTCACTATAAGGTTTGACATTTGCTCAAAAAGTTGTATAGTGAACTTCAAGTTTCCAATCCAATTGATATCCCCTCCTTCACAAAACAGAATTGTGTCATTTGCAAATTGTAGGTGTAAGTGGTATATTATCTCTTCCAACTCTCCACCCTCTTATTAACTCCCTAGAATCTGCTTTGGATATTGGTCCCCCAACACTTCAGCAACCAACATAAACAAGAAAGGGGATAGGGGGTCACCTTGTCTAATCCCCCTCAAAGCTGGGAAATAGTCCACCACTGTCCCGTTCACCAAAATGGAATATTGGCAATCCCTAATGCAACCCATCACCCATTTGCACCAGATGTCTCCAAACCCAAAGTTAATCATCACCTCCAATAAGAAGAACCAATCAACCAAGTCATTAGCCTTTTCCAGATCTAATTTATACACCACACCTCTTCTCCTGGATCTCTTATAGTCCTCTAAAGGTGGCCCTCTACCTTCGGAATTAGAGTAATAAAGGTGGCATTCAAGCTCCTTCACAAAGAAGCATTCTCATAGAAGGCCTGAAAAACATTCATCACATCTTGCTTAACAAACTCCCAACTACTTGTGTAAAATGATTTGTCAGCCCATCAAGACTCGAGGATTTCACATTCTCCAACATACCAATTGCAGCCTTAACTTCCTCCTCTGTGAAGGGTCTCTCCAACCACTACTTTTTATCATCATTCAGGTGCTTGAAGGGAAGACCTGATGGAAAGGGTCTTCTAGACCAGTTCTCTTTATACAGCCTCTTATAGAAGCCTGTAGCAATCTGCTTAACTTTAGTAGTCGACTCTCCCAAGTTTCCATCCCATTCCAACTTACTAATTAAAGAAGCCCTGTACTGAGCATTTGCCATTTTGTGAAAGAATTGAGTATCTCTGTCCCCCGACTTCAGCCACCAAATTTTAGCTCTCTGCCTCCATTTAATTTCATCTTTTATGGCTAGTTTGTCAAAAATCAACTTTGCGTGGCTTCTTTTCTGCCTCAAGGCCTCCGGGATTGGCCCTACCCCTTCAGCCCTATCAATTTGCTCTATTGTGTTGAGGCAAGCTCTCTTCTTAGTTTCAAAGACCAGACAACTTCTTCATTATCAAAACACGACAACCATTTCCTTCGAAGTGATTTAAGGTAAATTTTCTTGATTAAAAGCTATAATGATACAACAAGACACCTGTTGGAGCTCCAGACACTAAAGAGCTCCACACAAGCAACACAACTCACATCAGAACAAGATTGGCATAATACAAAGATAACACAGGGGAACCCTGGTTAAAATAGAATTATTCAAAGTCTCGTGCTCTAAAACCCAGAGTTTTAAAAGTGCAAGGTGCAAAAAAAGTGCAAGGCACAAAAATAAGCGCAAGGGTCAATTTGTGCCCAAGGGACAAGGTGCAAGGCAAGGCGTGTGCCTTTAAGCAAGGCACAAAAAATACAAAAAAAAAATGCCAAAATAATTAAAAAATATATTAAACATGATATTAATAAAAATATAAACTTAAATTTTAGAATAAATGTTTTAAAAAACCTATTATCTAAATAAAAATAAATAAACATAACATGCAAAGCGTATTCAAATGAAAAAATTTTAAATAAAATCAAACATATAAACATTTTCGAGCATGTAAAACCCACAATCTCTTTTTCTCCTCAATTGCGTTACTTCAAATAGCTAGTGTGATGTAAAACATATTGCATTCCTGATTCTACAAGCCACCTTTGTACCAAGCCCCTCAAGGCAATTGCTAATGTTGTTCATTCATTCATCCTAATAAAATATCTTCTTAAAAGGCAATCAAAATTATAAAATCATTATTTTTTCTGTAACGATTAAGAATATAAGACCCTAACATTGACTTGTTTGGGCTTGCCACGAGGGGCTTGGTTGGGGGTCTAGGGGCGGAGCCCCTAACCCAACTGCTAGGTTCAAAAAACAAAAAGTGCAAATTTAAAAAGGCGCACACCTTTTGAAAGTGTTGCGTCTAGGACCTAGGCAAGGCACATACCCTAAAATGTGCCTTGTCTATGCACCTAGGCATGCCTTTTAAATCATGGCTGACACCCATACCTTCCAATCTCCTCAACTTCCCATTTCCTTTCATAGGAATTTTTTTTGGACTTTCTACAATTACTATTAACTCACAAGGATGGCATAAATAGATGGGAAGACTTGAAAGACACTTATGGTAAGAGTTATAAGCTCATCTAGGAATGGCAACGGAGCGGGGTAGGGACGGGGAGCCACTCCCCATCCTCATCCCCACAAAAATCCCCACCCCCATCCCCGTCTCCGCCAATGGGGACAAGGTTATCCCCATCCCCGCGGGAATCCCCGCTCCCTGTGATTTTTTATAATGTCAACTATTTTGTTTTTGTTTTTGTTTTTATTTTATTTAAAAATTAAAAATAAAATAATTATAATTTACAATCCTTTTAAATAGACCTGTTCACAGGCCGGGTTTCAGGCTTGACTTACACTTTGTTGTGCTCGGACTTCGGGTCGGACCCCATTCAAAATTTGGCAAAAGCCAAGCCCAAGCCTGGCCCATGAACAGGTCTACTTTTAAAAAAGATTCAAACATATTTAACCATATTTTTAAAAATATTAATATAAATACATACATACATAGACATATGCATACATATATACATATATATTAGCAGGGATTGGGGTCCCCGCGGGGCAGGGAGTGCTCTCCCCATCCCTGCCCCATCCCCACCAACGGGGATGAAAATTTCCCCATCTCCATCCCCAGAAGGGAAATCATCCCCATCCCCGCCCCATTCAGGGTGGGTCTCCACAGGGATCGGGGAAATGGGGAAATTTTCCATCCCTACCCTCATCCCATCCCATAGACGGATATTTCTCTTCCACCAAGGTAGCCTCTTGTCAATATATATGTTTTCCGCAGAAATCAGATTTATAATATTAATTTGTTATTTCTTTATTTTCTGAAGACATATTTTTCCCTTCAAGGATGTCTTATCCTCCTTTATAAATTTCAATTTTTACATGATAATGAAATACTTCTGTTACTGACAAAAGGCATCCAACAGCCATCTGTTACTCCCTTGCATATAGAATATCATCTATAAGAACAGTCCCAAGAGCAACAAGCCATGCAAATGTCTCTACCTTCAGAGGAAGTGGGCTCCACCAAATTGTACCAATCAATGAGGATTTTGCAACACCATGTCAGTAGCTTTTTTTTTATTTTGATCATCAAGTAAAGATTACCATACATCAGTAGTATTGTTAAATGAACTAATGGAGTATCATCCTTTTGAGTCTCATAACCAGATAGTAATACCATAGTTCATCCTATTCTTTTGAAGATTGTTTTCCTATTATAATGATCAGTTGGCCAGGAAGAAGACAAAAGAGAAAGCTTAAATTGAAATCTGAAGTGCATGTTCAAGAAAATTAAGTTGATAAGACCTTCAAGAACATATACACCATAAGGATAGAGAAAATATTAGAGAAATGAGCTAACTAACTTATGTGCATCAAAGGGAAGCTATATCATTTAGCCACAAAAGGATTTAAATCTATAAGGACTCAAATGAACAAAATAAAGAAAGCAATATTGGCAACATACCTTTGTCTCAAACCCAAAAATGTTAGAATAAAAGCAAATATGATGAACAAACAAGTACATATGACCCTGCAAATTAAAGTAAAATTAGGGAAATTAAAAGAAAGGGTGAATTCAAGGTTCAAAGTATCGATACGTATCAGCCCGTATCAGCTGAGACATCGTATCGGGAGCTTCCCGATACTACGCCCTATAGAGGGTGTATCGGGGTTTTGACCGGTCCAGAGGGTGGACGGACCTTAAACCGGCCCCTCTGAACCGGATTTGAAAAAAAAAACTGAAAAAAACTACCGATACTGTCCAATATGCCTCTACCGGCGTATCAGGTGTATCGATATTTTGAACCTTGGGCAAATTATAATAGTGTAAATTTATAAATCTCTAGGCATACAACTTAACTACTGTCTTAAAGTTAGAAGAAAATCACAAAAGAAAATTATGGTACCATGGAATTCCTAACAACTATAGATTATTCACAATAAGGAGAAGCAAATGAGTGCAGAAAATATGGCCGTGTTTGGTTCACTACTATGGGCCCCATTCTTTTAATTCTTGCTCATTTTGGGCAAGAATGAGCAAGAATGAATAACATGTGTTTGGTTACAAAATTCTTGCTACATGCCACATTCTTTTTAGAATGAAAAATCAGCCCATAGCACAGAATTTGAGGTAGCCTGCAGCATGAAAAACAATCATGCACCATCTTGCTCATTTTCATTCTTTGAGGAAACTCTGCCTACAAAACTACTAACATAGATGTTTACTAGCGGACTATCGTGGAAACTCACCTCAATAGACATTAACTGCCTACCATCCACCGGTAAACATCCATGCCAACAGTTTTGGAGACCTAGGCTGGCGGTAGGGGTGCAACTTGGGCGGGCCCAGCCCGAGCCCAAACTAGCCCAACCCGAAATTTTACACGGGCTGGCTTGGAATTTCAGTCCTCAGACTGCGCTTGAGCTCAAGAAATCGGGCTTTTCTATTTTTCGGGTCGGGCCTAGGCCTAGTCCTTAGGTAGCCCAAACCGGGCCCAACTATACACATATGTATATATATGTTAATTTTGCATACATATTTACATATATATACATACATATTTGTGTGTGTATATATATATACATTTGTATACTTATTTACCTATTTACATACATATTTTGCATACATATATGCATAAATATATGTATACATGTTTGCATAAATATATATGTATAATTTTAGAGTGGGTTCATTGACCAACCCAAGCCCGGCCTGGGCCCGAGCCCAACCCGAGTTCATCAAATTACAGTGCGGATTGGGCTCAGGTTGGGAAAATCGGGCTTGACCTTGGGCTCGGGCCTTAAGCCCAAATTTTAGGGTTGGTCCCAGGTTGACCATAAACCCGGCCTAACCCGCCCAACTTGCACCCCTAGCTGGCAGTTTATGAATACCGACAGTTTTTTTTTTATTTGAAGAATGAAAATGAGCAATATAGGACACTTGTTAGTCTAAAAAGAATTCATTTTTAGGAAAAAAAAAAAGTGTTTGGTTTGTTGAGTTTTGGGCTGATATAACATGTTTTTTATTTGCATAGCATAGTTAGGGAGTTCTTGGGCCTTAGGCACGTTAATTTTTGTTTTAAGTTAAGAGTGTTTTTAAGTTCTCACAAGTAGCTGACTTACTAAGGGCATACTTGTCTTTGTACTCTCTTTTATTTATGAGTAAATCTAATGAAAGGGGCGGCCAAACCTAATTCTGTGCTTCTTCCATTCTCTACTATCTCTCATCTCTCTCTTTCTTAGCTGAAACCTTTTCTCCTCTATCTTTTCTTCTTTCTTTTACAGTTTTTATATCAAAACAGGTTGTCCAAACCTTTCTACATGGTATCAGAGCAAGGTTAAACATTTCTTGAGTTGCTCCATCATGCAGCCCTAGATCGACTGACTGCATGATAAGATAAAGGAATGATCGAAGACTTCAAGTAAGCCCAGTTTTTGGATTTTCTGGAGGAATTGCAATCCCTTGTAGCTGGTCTAGGGTTTTACACCAAAATCAGGAAGAACTAGAGAAAGGGGAAGAGTCCTATTTTAGTAGGACTCTTCAATTTTGACCTAGGAAGTGGCACTCTAGTTTTCTAGGGTTCCTTGAGGTTTCCTGAAGGGGGAGGTTCAAGTCATAGCCTTTTCGGAGGTCTCTAGAGGTTGCAACAACCTCTTCTCTCTCTTCTCTCGCTCCCACGGAAAAAGGTATCTTTGGAAGGAGAGGCTTCTAGGGTTCCAAGAGGATGTTTGAGGTTTCTAAAGGAGATAAATACCTTCTTTTCCATCTCAAATTGATTTCCTAACCTATTCTGAGAGTTATGGAGGGGTTGTGTAGTTGAAAACAAATTTTCAGGAGAAATGGGATCTGGGGGAGGAGGTGTTGGAGATCTCTTCGGAGCCGGAACCATCACTACAGTCAAGTTGGATGGTACAAACTACTTAGAATGGTCACAATCTGCAAAGATAGCCATTGGTGCTTGTGGGAAATTGGGGTATGTCACCAGTGAGGAAAAAAAACCTAAAACTAACCATTCCCGATGGGTACAGGAAAACTACATGGTGATGACTTGGTTGTGTAATTCCATGCGACCATGCCCCATATAAGTAAGAACTTTTTATGGGTTAACACAGCTAAGGAGATTTGGGATGGAGTAGCAAAAACCTATTCATAGAATGAAAATGTTGCTAGAGCCTATCAGAGAAACCAAGTGATTACTACTAAGCAGGAAGATAAGTCTTTTGCTATTTATTTTTCAACCCTAAAAATCTTATGGCAGGGGAAAGATCATTTGGAGACTGTGGTTTGGGAAAGTAGAAAAGATGCAGCAACTTATCAGAAGTTGGTAGAAAAGATTAAGGTTTTTGAGTTTTTTAGCTGGACTTAACCCTAAGTATGATATTGCACGCCAACATATTCATTCCCGAGACAGTGTAACTCTCTCTCAAGCATATATGCCTTTGTGTCTAGAGAGGAGAGTAGGAGAAATGTGATGATGAGGAACCCAGACCTTGAGCAATCAACTATGGTTAGCACAATGAAGCCTAAGCCGAGTGGGGATAAGGGCGGAAATGAACTGAGGAAGGAGGACAAAAGGGATCTAATCTGTGACTACTATAACAAACGCAAACATACCAGAGATACCTGCTGGAAGCTTTACCTACACCTTGTACCGAGTTAGCTCAGAAATAAGAAGGGAAATGTGAATATGGCAGTAATTGGTGATTTATCAGGGCCACCTACTACAGCCTCTCTAGAATCTGTTGCAGCAGCTACAGTGAGGGCCGAATTGGAGAGATATGGGCAATTCCTAAATTTGAAGGATACAACCAGTTCCATGTCAGTATCAGGTGGACAGAAGGTGCAAGTGGATCAGGAGGTAGTCATTCTACCTCGTTTGCACACACAAGTAGTTCACGTGCCACTGCAAATTATGTATCCACTACAGGTAAGGAGGGACCTCCCTGGATTATAGACTCAGGAGCCTCAAAACATATGAACAACATTTCCACCATTTTCACTTCATACCACCTCTGCTCTGGTAGAGATAGAATTTCCACAGTTGATGGATCACATGTTACCATTGCTAGGAAAGGGTCTGTCAGGATAACTGATACCATTACCCTACCTTCTGTCCTTCATGTTCCTAGACTGAGCACTAATCTTTTATTTGTTAGTAGCTTGAGAAAGAATTTAAACTATTCTGTGCTTTTTTCTCTTGGTCATTGTGTTTTGCAAGATCTGGAATCAAAGAAGACGATTGGGAGTGGTCGTGAGGTGAATGGAATCTATCTTCTTGATGCACTTCCTAGTCATTAGAGTCATCATGTCAGCAGGAGTATTGAGTTAGAGTCAGTGGGTCAGATTATGCTTTGGCATAATCAGTTAGGACATTTGTCTTTTGCTTCCTTTCGTTTTTGTTTCCCAAATTGTTTGTCTGTCAGTTTGTCCAGTTTGGAGTGTGGGGGCTATCAACTTGGAAAGCATTGTAAACATTCCTTTAAAGCAAGTAATAAAAGATGTTCTTCTGTTTTTTATATTAGTCATACTGATGTGTGGGGGGCCATACCATGTTTCCTCTATGGGTGGCTATTGGTGTTTTCTTCTGTTTGTGGATGATTATTCTCAGTACTCTTGGATATATTTGATGAGATCCTGTGATGAGGAACCTACCATCTTTGGTTCAACAATTCCATCAGATGGTGCTGACACAGTTTGGGGTACGAGAGAAAGTGTTTAGATCAGACAATGCCAAGGAATACTTTGAAAAAAAACTTATCATACCTTTTGGAGCATGGAGTTATCCATCAGAGTAGTTGTACATACACTCCACAACAGAATGGTGTAGCAGAAAGGAAGAACATACACATTGTGGAAGTAGCAAGAAGCATGATGTTGAGCTCTACAATTCCAATTCGTTTTTGGAGTGATGCAGTTCTTACAGCAGTGTTCTTGATTAATCGAGTGCCTTCTCGTGTTCTTGGATATAGCACTCCGTTCAGCCTTCTTTTTCCTAAGGGGGAGACATTCCATATTCCTCTAAGGGTGTTTGGATGTGTGTTCTTTGTCCATGTTCTTGGTCCTCACTGCTCAAAGTTGGATCCTAAGGCAAAGAAGTGTGTCTTCCTTGGGTAATGTAGGAAATTAGAAGGAGTATTGTTGTTATGATCCAGTCTCCGGGAGTCGGTATGTTACTATGGATGTCACCTTTTTTAAGTCCACACCATTTTTTTTTAGGGGTTCTTCTCAAGGGAGGTGTTTTGGAGAAGGAAGTGAACAATCTATACAACTTCATGTTCCAGCTCCTTTGTCTACTCCAGTGTCTGACCTACTTATCTCACCCACTTTTCCACCTCCATTGTGTCTTGTCTCTCAGTGCAGCACCTACGACAGCACAGAGAGGTTGATTCCACAGTAGAGGAACCCACGTCACTCCCTATCGGCTCATCCGAGGTTCCAGGTTCGACTGACACAAACCCAAGTATGCCTCTTGTTTCCTCTGATGGTTTAGTTCCTATTGATACTACTACCCTTGCTCCTAGCGCCATTGCAGATGACCTTGATCTACCTATTGCCCTCAGAAAAGGGAAGAGGAAGTGTACTACTCGTTGCATCTCACACTATCTTTCCTACAGTGGATTATCCCCTTCCTATCGGGCCTTCCTTTCCTCCCTTGACTCTATGTCTATACCCAGGAGTGTTAGTGAGGCTCTCTCCAAACATGGGAGATTATGGATTTGCCTGATGGCAAGGAGACTGTTGGATGCAGATGGGTTTATACAATGAAGTACAAAGCTGATGGGAGTGTAGAAAGCTACAAGGCGAGGCTAGTTGCAAAAGGGATACTTAGACTTATGGCATAGACTACTTGGAAACATTTTACCAGTGGCAAAGATGAGTTTAGTTTGAATTCTTCTATCACTAGCAGCTACATACTCTAGGCCACTCTTCCAACTAGATGTGAAGAATGCCTTTCTCAATGGGGACTTGTAGGAGGAGGTGTATATGGACCTTCCAACTGGCTTCTACAATAATGTGGAAAAAGGAAAGGAATGAAGGTTGAAGAAGTCCCTATATGGATTAAAACAATCACCAAGTGCACTGGTTGTATTTGGCTATACTCAAACTCAATCTAATCATACTCTTTTTGTAAAGAGGAGGGGTTCACTTGTGTCAATTGTGATAGTGTATGTAGATGACATTGTAGTTACAGGAAATGATTTGAGTGAGATTGATACCTTGAAGAAGAATCTGCATAAAGAGTTTGAGATTAAGGATCTTAGGGAGCTGAAGTACTCTCTGGGCATTGAAGTGGCAAGGTCCAAGCATGGGATCTTCATCTCAGAGAGGAAGTATGTTCTAGATCTACTACAGGAGACAAGAAAGCTTGGGGCAAAGGCAACTGATACACCTATTGATCAGAACCACAGGATAAATGCTTCTGAGGGTGAACTAGTGAAGGATGTTGTAAAGATATCAGAGGTTAGTGGGGTAGTTACTATACTTATGTATGACGCAACCAAACATCTCTTATGCAGTGAGTGGTGAGTCAATACATGCATGCCCCATGAGTTTAGCATTAGGAGGCTATTGATAGGATACTTTCCTTTTTGAAGGGACACCCAGGTAGAGGCATATTGTTTCCTGACCATGGACAGTTGAAATTAGAGGCTCACACAGATGCTAATTAGGCAAGGTGCCTAGATGACAGGAGATCTACATCAGGAGTTTTTACTCTTGTTGGAGGTAATTTAGTTCACAGAAGAGTAAACAGACAGTTGTGGCAAGGTCAAGTGCAAAAGCTGAATACATAGCCATGGCACATGGTGTTTCAGAACTCCTCTCAATTTGTTCCTTGTTAGGGGGGATTGGAATTGAGGCCGAAGAACCTATGATGCTATATTGTGACAATCAAACAGCAATTAACATTGCCCACAACCCAGTTCAACATGATAAGACGAAGCATATAGAAGTGGATAGACACTTTATAAGGGAAAGGGTGACATCCGGAGAAGTTTTCTTGCCATATGTTGCATCTGACTTGCAGCTAGGAGTGCTCACGGTTCGGTTAACCGAACCATGGGGTGTTTTTTTTAATCGAACTAGTACTACTGGTTTTTGGAAAACCGGTAACTGAAACCGAACCGAAGCCAGTCAGTTAACCAGTTGACCAGTTCGGTTAACCGTCGGTTCGATTCGTCAATTTTTCAATTTTTTAATTTTTACAATATTTATTATAAAAATATAAATAAATATATAATAAAAATTTAAAAATATATATAATATTATATTTTAAATAATATAATATAAATATATATTTATATATAGTATATATAAAACATATATAATATATAAAATATATATAATATATATAATATACATAAATATATATAAAATATATAGAAATATATGTATATCGGTTAGTTTGGTTAACCGTCGTTTTTTTATATTGGTTAACCGAAACTGAACTGGTACCCTTCGGTTTTTTAAAAACACCGAACCGACCGGTTCGATTCGGTTTTGGTCGACTTTTCCAGTTGGTTCAGTTTTTTGGTTTTTTTTGCTCACCCCTACTTGCAGCTTGCTGATGTTCTTACAAAAGGAGTTGCAAGAAACAAGTTGGAACATGATCTACACAAGTTGGGAATGTGTGACATTTATTCCCAACTTGTTGAGGGGGAGTGTTGAGTTTTGGATTGATATAACATGTATTTTATTTACATAGCATAGTTAGGGAGTTATTGAGCCTTAGACCCATTAGTTTATGTTTTAAGTTAAGAGTGTTTTTAAGTTCTCACAAGTAGCCGACTTACCAAGGGCATACTTGTTTTTGTACTCTTTTATTTATGAGTATATAATCTAATGAAAGGGGTGGCCAGACCTAATCGTAAGCTTCTCCCATTCTCTTCTATCTCTCATCTCTCTCTTCCTTAGCTGAAACCTTTTCTCCTCTTTCTTTTCTTTTTTTCTTTTACAGTTTTTATATCAAAACAGGTTGTCCAAACCTTTCTACTTGGTTCATAGCAATATTTTCTCATTCTTCCTGTTTTTACCCATTCTTGTCCATTTTAGAATTTCATCTTGGGTAAGAATGAGAAAGAATGAGAGTTGAACCACACATGGCCTATATTGATGCAAATTTCTTGACAGAGCTATTATCAAAAAAAGGATGCTTACACTTCCACAAGAATCAAGAGTTACCTGAAGAAGGATATTCTCTTGGAGGGCACAATTGAAGTCTTGAACAAGGACCTTTATAAGAAGACAAAAAAAGCAAAAACAGAAGATGGAGTCCATTTTAGAATAATACAAAAATCGTGCACTATAGAATTCTACAGTGCTTATCCTTACAATATAATGAGATTCATTATTTGCAGTGGTAAAGCTCTTTGCAAATATAATATTGGCAGTTTCTAAAGATTTTCCCAAATATAATAGAATGTGCTGATAACAAACAACAAGAAATCAGTATTAGCAAAGGCATAAAAATACAGTTCCCATAACCTTGCAAATGGAAGTAAAAAATGAGTTGATAATATCACTGATGTTTTTTCAATATAATATCAGAAGTTAATAATAAACAACAAGAAATCAATATTGGCAAAGACATAAGTATATTTCCTCACTGTGCAATAGCCAACTCTTCCTCTAGAAGAAAAAATGTTTGTGTGCAATGGACACCACCAAGTTGCGGATGGAAGAAACTAAATTTTGATGGTAGTTGTGTGGGTAATCTGGGTCTAACTGGCTCAGGCATTAGTGGTGTAATTAGGGATGAGAAAGGAGTTATACTCTCATTGTACTCAGGTCCAATTGGGCAAGGTGATGTACTCAGATCAGAATTTTTGGCAGCAGTTTATGGGGTGGAGAAAGCAAAAGAGTTGGGCATTGAAAGGCTGATTATTGAAGGGGACTCAAGAACAATTGTGAGTTGGCTGAAAAAGGGAGAACGAATAATTTGGAATTTAAGGAATGGTTATAGAAGGCTCAAATGGCTATATAAAGAAATGATGATTCAAGTCAACTGGGTGAGAAGATCTGCAAACCATTTGGCGGATGGGCTAGCTAAGCAAGGGGTTCAGAGACAGTCTATGTATTGGGCTCACTTGTAATTTTCTGGGTTAAAAATGTCCTCTTGAATCTGTTGAATCTTTCCACAACTTCTTGTTGTACCTATTTTATCTAATTTTAATGAATCCTTTTCTGTGTTGCTGATAAAAAAAAAAGTATATCTCCTCACTGTAACTACAAACAGAATTTAATAGTATATGTTTATCCGTCATTTGCACCCATAATTTAATTAAGCAGAATGGAATGGTGAAACAGGATTCATGTCGCCAACCCCATATAATTGGGATAAGGCTTGGATGATGATGATAATATGTATGCATCACTTCTCATGAATAAAGGACTGTTTGGCATGTGCCACATATTGATTTTAAATATAGAGTTAGGATAATAAGAACTCAAGTGGTATTTGATTGGTTGTCAGAACAAAATCAGTAGATAATCAAAAGCTGGTTTCATTTTATTACTTTTTTCTGTCAGAACACCATCTAAGGTAACCATAGTGTAAAAAAGATGGGAGTTTCTTCTATATTTATTTGATAAGGGAAATTGATGCTTACCACATTGTGAGAAAAGAATGAAGAGGTTTCAATAGGCTTGAATTCAGAATCAGTGTCTGGGACTCTGGAGCCTGATGCTTTGCTCTGACTAGTGACTGCAGACTCCAGGGCATGTAAACAATAGGTTATGGTTTTCTGGTTGCTGCTGCAACATGTGTTGATATTGCAACATTTGCAGTTAAAATGATGCATGTAGAGGTTTCACTGTTTCACAGAGGCTAAATTGCATATCCCTAAGTTGGAAGTAGGTAAAAAAGCCAAAAAAACAAAAAGATGTTGGAGTCAACCTGAAAGGATATCCTAACTTCTTGAAACTGGAAACAGAAGGAATGGATTTTTAAGACTTCCACAGGAATAGAAACTCAACATAACCTAGTGCATTAATCAAGTCAGGTACTTGTCCACTGAGATGATCAATCAAGGTGTAATCAGTGAATTCATGTGGAACATCATCACTGGGTGCGTCTTCCAAGAGGGTGAACTCAACAGTGACCACAGTAGTTACCTTCTGGTGATCAGAATGCAGCGAGTGGGAAAGTAGAATCTGGACCAGGCAGACAATGTCAAATGGCCAAAGGCCTGCAAGGTGATATCAACAGGAACTGAAGGAAAGTAGGAACTTACAATTTGTAATTTACAATTCAAGGGTAAGTAGTTTGGTGATTTACAAGAGGGGGATGCTGAGAAAAAGAGGTTTGCAAAGGGATGGTTGTTTTGGGAAGAAAACGGAGTGAAAAGTCCCAATGGCTTGTTTTCTTTCCAGGGATCCCATGTCAAAGTTTTGAGTGTTTCAGGTGCTTGCTTTGGTTTCACAAATCAGATGTGGACCCATTCACTGTCAAATCATTATTTCTGGGTAGGATCTTGATTATTGAGACTCCATTTATCTACTTGAGTGAAAGAACCATGAAAAGAGAGAGAAGGGCATTAAAATGAACCAATCAGTTGAAACGCCATGTCAGGCTCCAGGAGCAACCTTACCAAGTCCTATTTTGATGGTTCCAATCAAATTAATACCTGTGAAGGTGATTCATTTTCTTGTGTGAGGAGTTTTGGAACATTCAACATTGCCGAATGTAAGCATTCATGTGATTGATGGTAATAGTATGGCTGGAGAGTGGAGAGTGGATGCTTGGTCACTAGGGGGCTGATATAGTGCTCCTGCAGAATTACCTTTTCTTCATGCAAGAGAAGATCAAGGTTGAGTGCTGCAGAAGTACTCCAGAAAGGCAGAGGTATGCAGGGGCAATAAATCCAAGTTATTAGTTTCATTTTTTTAATCCTATACTACTGGAAGGAAATATAATCTTACTGCCATAGCCCCACATGTTGAAGTTACTTTGAAGGTGATGGATAATGTAACTAGGGTAGGAAAAGAAGAGAATGTACTATAAAAGAAGGGAATGGACATAAAAGAGACACGTTAATTCATGCACTGGGGTGTCTAAGGAACAAGATGCAACTAGAGTTGTGTTGGGGTCTGCAAGTGGTACATGCTTTTATTGGCTGTCTTTTGTTTGGGGGGTAGAATTACAGAATCATTGTGCACTGGCTTTCTCTATTTTTGTGAAATAGATTGAATTTTGGGTTTTTTTTTTGTGTGTGTGTTTTTCTGGCTAAGGTTTGATTGTGGGGCTTTGGATGTCAATTCCTGATAGGCTCATTTTATCGAATGTAACATCCTTTGCTTCTATCCCTTGTTCTTTTCATAACACTTCCCTCAAAAATATACCCCACACCAATTGACATAACCCTCAAAAGTATATATATATATAACTAAATTGGTATTGACTTGACGACTCAATGGTGAATGGACATTTATCTAAATTCACCATCTCCAAGATCTCTAACATAGTAATGGCATCAATGGTCAAAATGAGATTTCATATAGTTTTTTTGGCGTCAATTTTTATTCGATAAATCTTAATTCAGTCGATATTAGCTCCTTTCAGTAATATCATAATTATACACGACAAGAAAAAAAAAATCAAGCAGCCATTATGGTTATAAGATGATCAACTATTGCAAAAAGGTAAATAACATTAATAAGAGAACCTATAGTTCCTAAAAAAATCAAATATTTTTTTGCCATATTAATCTTAATGTCGCTTACTTCGTCAGGTGGAAGACGAAACAGTTGCCGATACTCTTCACTTCTCAAAGATGCTGCAGACTGTAACAAAACACACGGACCGGAAATGAACAGTAAAATCAATAGCTATTATAACTTCAAGCAAGAAATTGAATAGTTCGAAATTTGACAATCGTTGACACAATCAACCGCAGAATCAATCCGAAACAGCAGAAATTGGATGGAAACCTCAGTCAAAAAGTATCAATAGTACCTGGATTTCAACATCTTTACGGTGGTTAACCGACGAATCAGATTGCTCGTTACGATCAGAGGGATCAACAACACCTAAAGACGAGGTTTCAGAACCGGAGTCTGAACCCGATTTCGAAACCAATGGAGAAGAAGGAATGGACTCAATTGACTGAGAAGGTTCGGCCTTCTCTTTGCTCGGAGATGCTACGGCCATTGCAGAGATCTAGGGCGTCGGTGACCAAGCAGACGTGGAGTTCAGAGAGAGAGTCTGAAATGAACTGACTTTAAATAGACGTGAATTCAAGCATTGCCGGTTTTACGGTTTGATGAAATGAGATGAGAGAGAAAGGCGTCATGATTTCATGAATGAATGCGGCATTTCAACTCCCATAGTCCCATTCATTCGTGCTGGTTTGTTTAACTTAAACGCATACCTGCTAGACTGCCACCTGGGAGGCTGGGACCCCGGGGACTTAAAACCCAAATCCGAGCCCGAATTTGGTGTATGTCGGTATCCGGGTAAGACATGAGACTGGTCGGATCTCATCCAGACCCAGAATCATATTCCATGAGACAAATAGGTTGAGAATTGAGATGTGCATTTGGATCCTAATTAGATAGGTTTACGTAGATCCATTTATATTTTTTAGATAATAAAAGTGAAATTCTATTGGCCAAGATCTATTTATTTGGGGCATGAATCGGATGCACATATGAAGGAATCTAAACGGATCTATATTTTATTCGGTTGAGGATACATTCTTTCGAACCAAGCATAGCCTTAATGATGGATGTTGAGATAAACGGCCAATGAACACATTACTTAAAAATGGTAACTGGGTGGGGCGGGGATAGGGAGCCTCTTCTCATTTCCATCTCCCGTAAAAATTCCCATCCCCATCTCCATCTCCGTCCCCAGGGACAAAGTTATCACCATCCCCGTCCCCAAGGGAATTCCCATTCTCATGGGGACCCCCACTCCTCATGATTTTTTAAAATGGCAATCATTTTGTTTTTGTTTTTTGTTTTATTAAAAAATAAAAATAAAATAATTAAAATTTACAATATTTTAAAAAATACTAATATATAGACATATGTGTACATATGTACATATATAAACATATGCGTACATATTAACATATATACATATATATTAGTGGGGATCCCACTCGATGCTCGGCAGGAATTGGGGTCCCCTTAAGGTGGAGAATGCTCTCCCAGTCCCCGCCAATAGGAATGAAAATTTCCCCATCCCCATCCCCAGCCCATTCGGGGTGGATCCCCATGAGGATCAAGGAAATGGGGAAAATTGCCATCCCTATTCCTAAATTCTCAACTTCTCACTACCTAAAAAGATTCCTCCTTATTAAATGATAGTTGTGCATGTGCAAGATGAAAGAGGAATGATAATGATGTCAATGGGTTGGTTAGGTAAATCTGCCTTTTAACCCGATCCTAGGGTCAGGTTTATTGGTTTTAGTATAGAGTACGGTTAGGGTCTTGGTTCTTTTAACTTGTGTCAAATATGGGGTTATTTGTAATTTACCCTAATAATAATGAAGATGATGATGATAATATACTAAAACCCATATGGTGTGCAAATAGATTTATTGCTTTCCAACCTAAATACTTGGCTTCAAATCTTCTTAATGGTTTGATCAACAATAAAATGGCCTTATTAGTTGAACCACCAACAACACCTAGATGGAAATGCAGTTTCCTTTTTATACAATTTTAAAAACGTAAGTTTTAATAATAAGAAATAAAAATACTTTAAATATAAATTTCAACAAGAAAGATTAAGAACTAACTAATACCTAAAATATAGTTCTTAATGAGAGAGAATGGGATAAACTAAAAAGTGATAATGCAAATTATATTTTCTGCCTAGCTAGATTTAAAATTAGGGTATTTTAGTCAAAAAGAAATTTCAAATATATGGGACCCTATTCATATTTTTAATAATAGTATAAATTCATTTAATAGGTGACTATGATGCAACATCATATCAAATGATGATGCACATTACAACATCATCATTTTGACTATGATATGAGAAAGATATGATATTTGAATTTTTTTTTTTTATCAATCAACTGGTATCATAAACGTGGTAGCCAATTAGGTGTTATTTATCAAAACTCATGAGTGGGTTTTGATTGATCAAAACTCTTCCCATACCATATCTTTCCCGTATATTTTCCGTCATTCCATATAACCAGCTTCATACACTTGTTTTTACAATAGATCATGTGGCAACAAAGACAAATAATGGAAACATGACTAGTGGATTTGTTGCCTTTTAACTTGAAAACTTAACTTCTTGTTTGTATTTTATGTTAATGGTTTTAACTCATGGTTGAACCAAACAGATGACCTTATTGGTTGGACCAAACAAATGAATATGCTTCAATGCAACTATTGCAAAAAATAAATAAATAAAATAAAAAAAGAACCATTAACTTCATTAACAACTAGATGACCTTATTGGTTAAACTATGTACGTATTTTACCAGGTCAATAAGCTATAAGCAATACATTAATTATTTTTTTTTTATTTTTATCAATTTTCATAATTAATAGTAATAGATTTCATTTTTCACGCATATTTTTGTTTAATATGATGAATATGTAATATTAACGGCATTCTCAATTATTTTATAAAATTTATAAAGATTGTTATATGAATCTCATATTGACTTGTTAAATTAGGAGGGAAATACATATCCAATTGATTTAGAACATTCATTTTTTATTAGTGCTTTCTATATTGTGCTCAAATCAACTATTCAAAGACCAAAATTTTAGGTCCATTTATCACCAAACTACTTACCTATTGGAAAAAAAAAACCATTGGCATGTTGATATAACTAACCAAACCATTTAACCTGTTAAATGGGCTCATAGATAATAGATTAAATATTAATTCTCTTTTACTTTTAGTTTTTATTCTATTTTTGTCATTGATAAAAAAATAATTACTATTTATCACACTTAATTTTTAATAGGACAAAAATACATTAATAAAAAAGTATTCACATTTACTACAAAATTTCTATTTTTTAAAACTTTTTTGTTTTTCTACTTATTTTTTAATTTTTTATTACTTGAATTATGACATCATAGGTTAGCTCATTCGGCTAATATGATTGAACTTCTCACCCACACCTAGATGGAAAAACTATTTTGATTTTAGGATGATATTGAATTTTGTATTCCATTTTCATCATTAATAAAAATACTTTTTATTTTCATAATTATTTTTATTTAATTAGTATGATGAATATATAGCATTAAAGATGTTCTCAAATTCTTTCTACAAAATTCTTTACTTTTTGATTTCTTTTGTGCTATACATTTTTTAAATTATTTATTTATTTAATTATGGCATCATGAGTTGACTCGAAAAGTTGGATAATTAACCCACCATCTAGATAGGAAAACAACTTTGTTTTCAAATCAATTTTAAAATATATATTTCAGTTACATAATTAATAAAAACAATTCTTACTTGTCACTTAGCTTTTCTTTGATATAATTAATGTATAATATTATATTATAGATGTATCTGATTTTTGTTTTTTTGTGATTCTTTATACTTTTCTATTTTAAAAAAAAAATCATTTTTTGACTTTCACATTATGGGCTAATTCATTTAAAATCTAGGTTGATTTTAAAATTTGTATTTCATTTTCATCATTAATAAAATTGTTTATGTCTAATTCTTATTTTTGTTTAACATCAAATATGCCCAAATTTTTATAATCTTTCTGTATTTATGATTTTTTGTATTTTCTATTTTTAAAATTTTATTATTTGATTATGATATCATTTCATTTCTAGGTTGATTTTAGATTTTTTTCCCATTTCTATCATTAATAAAAAATAAAAAATACTTTTTACAAGTCATATTTATTTTTACTTTGTATGATGAATATATAATATTAGAGATATGCCAAAATATTTTTAATTTTCTATATTTTTATATTTCATCAATTTTTAATTTTTATTATTTAATTATGGCATCATTGGTTAACTAATTTTTACCAAAATGGTTGAATTGCTTATCCACCACTAGGAGTGAAAAAATGGTTTTGTTTTCAAAATTCTTTTTTAAAATATCGATTTTATACTTTTAAAATTAATGTTATGGATTTAATTAGTATAATTTAATGACGAGAAACAAATATATCTTAAATATAGGATTTAATGAGAGAATAAGAGTTAATACCTTAGATTTGGGACTTAATGAGAGAGAATAGGAAAATGGTTTCATTTTTTGTTGGCTTTAAATTTTATATTCCATTTCCACCATTAATAAAGATATTTCTTATTTATCGTTTATTTTTGTTTAATATGATGAATATATAATGTTAAAGATGTGACCAAAATTTTCTACCAGTTTTCTTGATTTTCTATTTTTACTTTTATTAATCATAGCATCATGGATTAGCCCATTTGACCCAAAATGGTTGAACTTCTTACCACCACCTAGATCGAAATACAACTTCAGTTTTGGGTTAATTTTAAAAAACATAAGTTTTTATACTATTAAAACTATTATAGATGGATATGATAAATGGAATTTTATGATGAGAAATAAAATGCCTTAGATATATGGCTCAATGAGGGAGAATAGGAATTAACACCTTAAATGTGGGACTTAATTAAAGGGGATTGAATAAATTGAATAATAGTATTCAAATTACATTTTTCTCTCTCCACAATAAAGAGTGGCTAACTGGCTATACTTTGACAAGTGGGTTATTTTAGTGAAAAAGAATCCAAAAATCTAAAACCTTATTCGTACTTTTCATAACAATACAGATATAGATGAATGGAGAAACTCTATTGTTAGAATAATGGTATCAATTGATATTTAATATATTGTTTTCCAAAAGATAGGTGGTTTTTTTCAAAGAAAAATGCCCCTAAGCTGTATCGTTCATAATAACACTGGTGATTTTATGATATGTATCATGATATAGTGATATGCTTTGGATATGCATGGATGTGATAGAATGATTTGGATATGCATGAATATGTTAGGGTTTTTGAAATAATCATGTTTCTGAACTACTTTAATTTCATTATATTATAAAAACATAAAACCTTAAAATATAACATTAATAGTCAATTTTACATTTATAATTTCATACAGGAACTTAAACATTATGTGAAAATTAACACCTGAGATCAACCTTCCAAGGCTTTTGTTTTGGAACTCCATAGGCTAAAACTGTTAATTTGGAACTAGTGTGGTCAATCGTATATATTCCTCAGGATCATAGGCCGTTATATTGTATTGAAATCCATAATCTTGGTTCACATGGGCTACAATTTTAACAGTGGAGCCTTGATACTTTCTAATTACAAAGACAAGAAATTCCATCAAGTAGTTTTCACTGAGGCTATGTTAGGTTTGAAGGAAAAGGTAGGGAAAGGGAGGGAAAGGTAGGGAAACCTATATAAGGTTTGTAACGTTTTCCCTACCTTTCCCTACTTTTTCCTTCAAACTAAACACAGCATAAGGTTGAGAGATTAAGTTGTGCCTGTAAGAGGATTCCATAAGAGCCAAACAGGTACAAGAAACTGTATTGAACCATGGATTATCCTTTCAGATAGTTGCTCTGAAATTGACACTGCAGTCCCACACTGAAGTTCTAAGCCCGAAGCAGTTCCAACTGTACAAGGGAGACCTGTTTTCGACACTCCAACTCATCAAATTCAACCCAATGCAATGGGAAATTGCACCCAGTTACGGCGGTGCTACCTGATATGCAATTTAGAACTGAACAAAATTCCTCTATAGCACACACTTGTAAAAATACAATCAATTTTTCAGAACATTTTCTGATTTTATTTTCATAATAATGAAGACATGGAGTTGAACACTACAAAGTGACAAAAAAAGGAATACTTGATTCTTATTGGCCATTATATATTGGTTTCCTTTTCTCAGCAAATGCTGCTAAACCTTCCAAGCGATCTTTTGTGTTCAATAGCTGCTCATAGCACTCTTCTTCCAACTCCAAACCTGATGGCAACTCTATTTCAATACCCCTATCAATAGCACGCTTTGCCATCCTAATTGCCAATGGACCCTGTGAAAGATAAATTCAAACTCTTATTATTTGTCAGTCTTGACACAAAGGCACACTTTTTAGCCTTGCACATAGAACACAAGCATTACGGAAGATTTTTAACTTTTCTTTTCCAATGGATAGCAAGAGTAATATTTAATTGCAGATGAAGTATTGGTGAGATGGGGATGAAAGAACAAGCAGCCTATGGAAAACTTGAATCAAGTGCCTTCGAGGTCCTAAATTTAGAAAGATCAGAGTTATGTAAATTCAAGCATTAACTGAGATCTTTTAGACAACCAGGATTTTTGGAAAAAAGCTCTAGTTTACAATGCAATTGAAATATTTCAACATTGAAAAAGGATCCTTAGATCCATGTGAAGTTGGTTTGTCACCAATCCACATGCTGGTCTAACAGTTGGATGCTCCAACTTGATGACAAGGTGCTAGAAAGTCCTGATATGAGCATAAGATGAAGTTTTCAGTGCCCCTCCCATCCATCCAGCAAGGGGGGGGGGGGGAGAAAAGAAAGGAAGGAAGAAAGAAGCTCTAACCTTGTATTGTAGAAAAACAAGTAACAGGAATGGTGTGTGCCTGAACAATGAACAAAAACCATTGTTTGATTACTAGTAGAAAAGTACTACCATTTGATTATGGGATCTCATAGATGAACCAAACTTGTCTACAAATCCTGGCCATCAGGTCCATAGGTTTAATTAATAGGTTATCTTTGAGGTGCTTCACTGAATGAATTGCTCTAATTGAAGTACATCAAATACAAGGCCAACAAAACATCAATTTGTGCTAAGCTATATGCCTCTTCTAATAAAGATAAATGCAACAATTTGTTCCACCATCAGTTTACCTATACCTAGATTATTTAAAAATACAATGAAAGTAACAAAATTTTACATATATTCATTATATGGCTGGTCCATAGAACTACTGAAAAAACCTCACTTAGTGTATGCTACCCCAGACACACACACACACAAGAAAAAAAAACAAAAACCCACACTTAATGTATTCTCAACTTCAAACATATATTACCAACCAAAAGTGAAAAGTAATCCAGTGTGGAACAACCACGAAAGATACACACAAACACATATTGGTAAAAACATCCAAAGAGATACAAATCATACCTTCTGATTTATATCTCGAGCAATTTCAAGAGCCTTTAGGTGAGCCTCACCAGCAGGAACACAGTAATTAACCAGACCTGTGTCACAGTGCATCTTCATGGTTGACAGAATAGCTAATTATGGAATACCAGAATTTTAGACAGTGCAGGATGCAAAAAATTTATACCCATTAACATTGCATCTTTTCCACCAATTTTTCGACTAGTAAATATAAGTTCTTTTGCAACTGATTTTCCCACAAGTCTAGGAAGCCGTTGGGTTCCACCAGCACTGCAAATTACTAGAACTCCATTAAAGAAACTAAAAAATCAATTTAATATAATGATTTTCATTTACGAGGATATGGAACTGGGCCTTGTAGGTTAAAAACACTTGCACTTCAGAAATTGTAGAAAACATCGGAGCCAAGAATTCATGCATATTATAATTACAGTTGAATTGTGAAAGGAGAACTCCAAATAAAAGTAGGTGCAGCTTGATCTATAAAATCACATTTTACTAACAGGGCACTACATTATGTCCAAGTATTATTACATTAACAAACATTAACAAAGCAAATTGGTTGCAGAGACACATCAAGCAATAATGTGCAAGGTATTAAATCATTTTTAGATGGGTTTTGACATCCTCAATAATTTTTTTTTTCCAAAATGTTGTCAGAATTTCAATCTTCTGTATGAAACATGAGAAAAAATAATATTGATTCACAAATATATGATATTTTCCCCATTTTTTTCTCATTTTATTCCTATTTCTTCTCTCATGCATATGTTTTCCTATCTTTTCTCCTTTTCCTTATCTAAATCTATTTAGTTATTTTCTGTTTCATTCAAACTGTATAATGCCAAATTCTACCTATTTTTCATTCCACTCACAGTTGATACCAAAAGAAAATCTCAAAATTTCAAAGATGTAGACAAATTTTAAAACCTTGATATTATCTTTATACTATATAAAGTGGACACTTGCATTGGTTTTGGTGCAGGCCATAAAAGTTAAATTTGATTATATGGTGTTAATTTACATCTTTACCCTTCACTTGCACACGTGCATTGCATGTGCTCTTACACTTGTACTATATAAAATAGATACTTGCCTTGGTTTTGGTGCAGGTCATAAAAGTTAAATTTGATTATATAATGTTTACTTATATCTTTACCCTTTACTTGCACATATCCTTACACTAGTCATATATAAGTCAAATAAATTGTGGATAAATGTTCACTCATTCTATAAATATAAATAGAATTTCAGTACATACCCAGGAATGATGGCAAGTCCTGTCTCTGGCAAGCCAAATACTGCATCTTCTCCTAAATTATTCAATGTCTTAGAAATCAGTTACAGAAATTATATAGCATCCATGACTTAGAAATCAAAGGGAGTTCAATAGGAAATTCTGTGCAATTGAAGGGTACCACAAATCCGAAGATCACAGGAAAGAGCCATTTCCAGTCCACCACCCAATGCTGCCCCTTCGATGACAGCAATTGTAGGAACGTGAAGTGCCTGAACAAAATCAAGCCATGTTCAGCAGACTAGTCAAACACAAGAAAAAATTAAGAAATGGATGCATGCAACAAGACCACCATCTAAAGGTGATAACTAAAAAGAGAAGGGGGGAAGAATGACTTGGAAGAAAGATCAAAATCAATTCTTGTTCTTGTCACAAGCTGTCAAAAGAAGCATTCTGTAACTGATGATCATGTCTTTTAAACACTTCATGCTTTGATTTCCCTGGAAGAAAATACAGTGCTTAAACATAAAACTTCATGATTCTGAGCATTAACCTCTAAATATGAGAATGTTGAACGCAAAGAATTAACAAAAAATTGGACCTCTGATGGATTCATCGTCCTGCGTTCCTGCCAATTTATCACATGGAAATGGTTAACAGTATTTTGTAGTCATTGTATGGATATGCATACAGGGAGGCATAAATAAAGAAGATTGAATAATAAGAGCTCTATCTAAATATCTAATCGCAGAAAATATACATTAAGAAATTCTGTTAGAGAAGTACTTTAACAAAGTGAATGTTTCAGTCTGGGGGACCCACAACTTGTTACCTGTCCCTTGTTTCAAGAATTGAGATTCACCATGGAAGGTCTCCCAACTAAGATTGGCTACGCCAGAAATCAGCATAATCAGATGACTTTTAACCATCTCATTTGGGGACTGTTTTTGTAGCTTCTTCTTAACTTAGACAGAAACTTCTCTCCAGAATCTGATTAAATGCATTAAAGTTAGATGGCTATAGTCTCCTGTGCAAGCTGATCTTTGGCTATCTGATTCTGATCTACTAGGTAACCCATCCAAAACATGGGAGATGTAGCAAGTCATGGGGGCTCAGACCTGTCAATGGATTCTGTATACCTGGATTCAAGAGAGTGCCTTTTGACAAACTTGAACTTGGTAAGTAGGTAGTGTATTTACTTGGGAGTTGAGAGTTGAAACCTCCATGTAACATGACCACAGACCACTACAATTTTTGTTTTTATATTAGCTGTGTATATCACTTTTTGACATGTTGGCAAATGGTGTCAATCAATTGAACCATTTATCAACATAATGAGAGTTAACTATAGAGTTAAAATCAAAGGGGAAAAAATCAAAGGCCATTTATCATTCCCTTCAGCAATTCAACCAATAAGTTTTTCTGGTGTAATGCAAATTCAGTTTGATATAAATCTCTGTTTGACATCATTCAAAGGCCAAGATCTATTCCACCCAGTCTGCTAGGGCTTTTGGACATTGGTCTAGAACTTTCCCCATTAAAACATCAATTCTGGTCTAGAACTTTACAGCCAGTTTAACCAACATTATAAATGAACCTGAACAATGATGGCACACTCTACCTTCAGATCAGCACCTGCACAGAAAACTTCAGGAACAGAACTGCAAATCATCACAACATTAATAGAGGAATCCCTGTTAATAGATTCGAAAGTATGCTGTAAGCCTTTCAGTAAATCCTTTCCAATGGCATTTTTAGCCTCTGGTCTATCCAAGTTCACCTCAATAATTCCTGTAAGGAAAATGAAATACACTTCAATTTGAGAAAATGATAAAAAGAGAAGTGCTAAATTTCAAGATGAGCAAACTCTTTGTGACAAAAGCGACAGTAACTTACCGAGATGTTACAGATATATAAATTTATAAAATGTGCATACTATATGACACAATTAGGAAGTTAATAGTCAGAGTTATAATTAACAGTATGCATAGAAGTGGTTCTTTTCTTTCCCTTAAAGAAGGGGAAAAATACTTCTAGAATTCACAATTAGTTAGTAGTATAAACCATTCATTTCCCATTTTTGAGGATCACTGCACGAGACTGATGTTTCTCAACATTATCAACTCTGAAAAACTACAATATATATCTAAAGAGGGTTTTCCAAGGAGAAACACCTTCAACTTGATGGTAGTAAAGGCAATACAGCTATCTTAAATGGAAAATTTTCACACGATTTGCATTTTAACTAATATTTGGTATCTTTCAAAAAATTAGTATCTCGTAAAGCTCAAACCTTCATAGTGGACTGGTTTTCATCAAGGAACCCCCAAAAGGGTAGAGCTCCATATAGAGAAAGCATAAAATACGGATTTTCACGCAATTTTTTTTTCTAGTTAGAATTCAGCATAAGCTCTACTGGAACTGGATTAACAAACTATGAAACTCACTTGGGATGAACCACTAATGTCAAATACCAAAAATTACAATATTTATCGGGAAAAATTAACAAAAGAGATATCAAATGGAAAGAAACAGAAATTTGATTACCGGAATCGGAACCAGAGAGTCTCTCCATCTTCACAGATTCAGAAGCGGACTGCAGAATAAGACTTCTGTAGCTCTGATTCAGCCATTGATAAGAACTCCCCGAAACCGGGCTCACTCGTCGAGTATAACTCCCCCGACCAAAGAGCTGAGACAAGAAGGGATTCGATTTCCTTCCTACGTGATGAACGACTGACCGGACAAGGATCGGAAAAGGACCCATATGGAATTATTGGGTTTGTGTCAGAGTCTCAGAGATAGGCGTGGATCGTTAGAGACGAGGCTTGTACAGTTCCACTGCTCCGGTGTCAACTATAACGGCACCCGGAGCCATAATTACAAATATACCCTTACCTTTTTTAACTATCGATTGACTGGAGATAAGAAAACTGTTGCTGTTGCTGAAACAACTTCATCTTCCATCTTGTAAACTTCAAGAGAGATATCTAGGGGCTACTCTCCATCTTGAAAATATTGAGAGAAGAATCAATTAGCCATGGTGGACAAGATGAATGTGGAAAACAAAATTTCTTTCACAGGCTCGAAGAACTACAATGGTTAAGACTGTCCTCCAGGCTATACTAACATACATAATGGGCTCTTCTATTTTACCAAACTCGACATTATAAAAATTAGAACAAATTCAAAGAAGCTTTTTGTGGGAGGGCTCCCTCTCAAAAAAATCCTTCCATACAATTTCGTGGGACAAATTGTGTAGACTAAGAAAAAGAGGGGGGTTTAAATTTCAGGAAGATGGAAGGAATTCTATTTGGCTCTGTTCTCTAAGCAAATCTCGAGATAGCTCACTGGAGAATATGGCTTATGGCTCTCTTCAGTCTGAAGAAAAAACCCTCTGATTCTAGATGGTGGAAGCAGGTTGTTGACACCATGAATCTTATTAAAAATAATTTGATTTGGCAAGTGAAGGATGACAGGAAATTTTATTTGAGAGACCCCTGGGTCCCTACTATATATGGAGATGTTCCTAAATTTAGAGATGAATCCATAACCTCAGATTTGACACTGCAGGTTCATGATCTCTTAAGTAATTCTGGGGATTGAGATAGACGAAAATTACAACAACTCTTCACTGATGAGAGTTTTAATCATATTGCTTAGACTATTATCTAACCTACTTTGCCTTTAGATCGCCTGTTGTGGAAGGGATCTAAGAATGCAGTTTACATTGTGAAGTCTGGTTATCAATTTTTCATGGGTCAGCATCCCTGGCCTTCTGGTCCTTTCCTAAAGTGGAGTCTTGTATGGCAAACTAAAGTCCCACTACTATTCCAGCTTTTCATATGGAAAGCTTGGTGGAACAGTTTTCCAACCAAAGAAAAACTAATGTTTTTGAAAGAGTCAAAAGAAGCAATGTTCTCTCTTTGTGATAAATGAAGCCAGACGGGAAAGAAAGAATGAATCGTATTTTCTCATTAGTCTTGAAATCTATTTATAAATACAAAGTTTGTTGTCTACGTCAGCAAGGCCAGTTATAACTGACATAAGTGCGTCTTTGATGCCCAACTTGCTGATCAGAAAATGGAATTGTTCAGCGCTTAAGGCTTTGGTGAGTAGATCGGCAGGCTGAGAAGATGTGGATATGTGGTGAAGCTGAAATGCCTTTGATAGAACATGCTCTCAGACAAAATGACAATCAATGTCAATGTGCTTTGTCTATTCATGGAAGACAGGGTTTGTGGCGATGTGGATAGTAGCCTGACTATCACAATAGAGTGGCACTGGAGCAGAAATGGTTAAACCAAGGTTTTGAAGAACACGTCAAAGCCACAAAATCTCACTAGATGCGGTGGCCATAGCGCGGTATTCAGCTTCAGAAGAAGATCATGCGACAATGGTTTGCTTTTTTGTTTTCCATGACAAAGGAGCACCTCCAAGAATAGTGATGTAACTGGTTATAGATTTCTGAGTAGTAGGACATGAGGTCCAATCAGAGTCACGGTAGACCCACAAAGTTAGATCATTGGATGTTGGAAAGAAGATACCTTGACGTGGTTTAGCTGCAACATAACGAATAACTCGCTTGGCAGCCTATAAGTGTTCTTCTCGTGGAGCACTGAGATGTTGGGTAAGAACATGAACTGGGAAACTCAATTCTGGCTTGGTGATGGTCAAATAGACTAGTTGGTCCATGAGTGTTTGTAGGTGGTAGGATACCAGGATCAGTGAGTAATGGGCTGGTTTCATCATTGAAATGACGATTTTACTCCATAGGATGAGAGACATGTTTGCATGACAGCATGCCTGACTCTGAAATAATATCCATAGCATACTTATGTTGACAGGCAAAGATACCAAATGAGGATCTGGTTATTTCAAGGCCAAGAAAATAATGCAAGGGGGCAAGATCCTTGAGACAAAAACACCCGTTAAGGTAGGATTTGAGGGCCTAAATGCGTGGAGGATCATTACTAGTTATCAATAGGTCATCGACATAAACCAGTATGGCAATATAAGACTCTCCTTGGGTGGAGGTAAATAGAGAATAGTCGTCAGCTGATTGCTAAAAACCAATTCTTTTGAGGGTAAAAGAGAACTTATCAAACCAATAACGAGAAGCTTGTTTCAACCCATATAAGGATTTATGTAGTTGACAGACCTTATTTTTGTCTTGCTTCGGAAAGCCAAGAGGATTGTTCATATAAACTTCTTCAACTAAATCTCCATGTAGAAAAGTATTATTAACATTGAGCTGATGTAATTCCCAACCTTGAACGACTGCCAAAGAAAGAATGTAGCAGAGCATAACTAGTTTTGCAACGGGAGCATAGGTGTCATGATAATCATACCCTTCAATTTGGGTGTACCCTTTTGCCATAAAGATGTGTCTTATATCACTCAATTGTGCCATCGGCCTTATACTTGAGTTTGTAGACCCATTTGGAACCTATGGATCTTTTACCTGGTGGAAGATCAACAATAGACCAAGTGTGGTTGTGCTCCGAAATGACAATTTCATCTTGCATGGCCTGACACCAGTTTGGGTCTCGTGATGCTTCAAAGTAGGATTTTGTTTTTGTTGTCCCACAGATCTGACTTGCAAAAGGGCCAGTGGGTCCATGAAAAATGTAATCATGAAGATGAACTGATGGCTTTTTAACACGTTGGGGCTGTATGAGGACATGGGATTGAATAGTTGTGTGTTCATTGAGATTGGGCTCAGTATGAAGTGATCTAGTGGGTGATTCAATGACATTGAATTCAGTTACAACCTAGTTATTGGGTTGTGTCACCATATCAATCCCATCATCAAGTTGTGGTAATGGAACAACAATGTTGTTGGGCCGAGGCATTTCATCATTTTGGGTCTTAGGTGGGGTAGATAAGAAAGGAAATACATCTTCATAAAAGGTTACATCCCAAGATGTGAACACCTCCTTGGTGTTTAGGATGACATGATATCCCTTTTGAGCATTAGGATATCCAATGAATAAGCAATGATCAGTCCGAGCAACAAATTTATCACCTAAAAGTGGTCGGTGTTGGGCATAACATAAACACCCAAATGTACGAAAATGCCCATATGTAGGGGGTTTTCCAAAGAGCACTTCATATAGTGTTTTGTCTTGTAAAGGAGTAGAGGGAAGATAATTAATTGTGTAAGCAGTAGTAAACACAATTTGTAGGTAGGCACATGAAATCTGCATGGGTCCAGACATAAATTCTTTGCCATTATCTGAACGAACTGCCTTAATTTCTCCATTGGATTGTGTTCGAACCATGTGATAAAAGGATACAAGCAACTGATAAGTCTCAAATTTGTTTTTCGTGAGATAAATCCAAGTATAATGACTGAAGTCATCTACAATGGTCAAGAAATATCTTGCACCGGATAGAGACAGAACATGATATGCACCCCAAATATCACAATGGATGAGGGCAAAAGGAGTAGTTGCCCGAAATGAGCTAAGTGGGAATGGATTGCGGCAATGCTTATCACGTTCACATGCGTCACATGCATGCTTTATTGGAGTCGAAAAACCATCACCAAGACTAAGAGATAGCTGTTGTAGAGAGGCGTGGCCTAATTTATTATGCCACAGTTGATAAGAACCATTAGCTCTGGATGTGAGAGCAAAGGATGGCGAATGGGGATGAAGACAATAAATGCTGTCACAGAGCATTCCCCAAGCAATCTGAGTGTGAGATGCTTGGTCCTGAATAATACAACCAATACTGGAGAAAACCATAGATCAATGCAGTTGGCTTGTGAGTTTACTTATTGATAAAAGATTGTGACGAAATTGGGGAACATATAAGACATTGGTAATGAATAAACTAGGTGCAACATTGGTTGATCGTTTGTGAGTTGCAAATAGGACAGAGCCATCTAGTAAATGAACCAAGGGCTCAAGAGGCAATGATTCAAGATGCATAAGCAAATTTATATAATTGGAGGTCATATGTTCAGATGCTCCACTATCCACTATCCAACAAACAGAAGTAGATACGGAGGTAGTGGTCTTACCAGTCATATTGACACTAGCTTCTTGAGAAGCTTCAGTGTTTAGGAGGCATAGGAGTTGGAAATATTGTTCTAATGTAAGACCAACAATGGGGGGTCCAAGTGGATCTGATTGAACACAAGCAGTAGTGGAATTGGGCCTTGTGTTTTTGTTAGTATGATTGCTCTTGCCTTTCTCCCATCCTTCAAGGTAGCCAATGAGATCATAACGGTGATCTTTGGTGTGGCCTTGCCATTTATAGTGGTTGCATTTGTACTTGGGATGAGAATTTCCATTGCGAGGACAACTGTTACCAAACTTTGAGATAGAGGTGTGAAACGCTTCAACATCTGGTATTGAGATGCTCTTTTGACTAACCATGGCTTGGTGTTTCTCTTCTTGAATCATGAATGCATAGGCACAGTTAACGCTCAGAGGTGGGTCAGTTGCTAAAATATTGGAGCGAACACTATTGAAAGTTTCATTTAAACCCATCAAGAACTGGTGTAATTTGTTCCTCTCGTGTTTAGAATGCATCTCCTTTGTTGCACCACATGAACAATTAGGAATGGAAGAAAGATTTGTTAATTCATCCTAGATGCCTTTGAATCTGGTGAAATATGAGGCTACAGATAGATCACCTTGATGAAGTGGAGAAAGGTCCCATTTCAATTGATAGACTCGAGGAGCATTGCCTTGGGAGAATTGTTCTTCAAGATCACACCAAATTTCTTGGGTAGAGTCTGCATAAGCTACACTTTCATGTAGCTCACGGACAAGGGAGTTAAAAATCCAGGACACAACCAAAGAATTGCATTTCATCCATGATCGTTCTTCAATAGAACATGGAACTAGTCATTGAACAAAGCCATCAACAAACCCATACTTGGTTTTAGCTCTCAAGGCATTTTGCATAGCTCATTTCCAGGTGAAATAGTTGTATCCTGTAAGGGGACATGACACCAATACAGTTCCTGGATTGTCTAAAGAATGAAGAAAGTATGGTAAAGATGGATCTTGGTTTGACATGACAGAATACAAAAAATATGGTGGTGAAGCTAGATCTTGCTCTATTCTTGGGTTCTTGAACAGGGATCAAGAAACCAGAAATCTATTCTTTTGTTCAAGAATAGATTTTATATAATAAAATCTTGGGTTCTTGCTCTTTCAAGCTCGCGGGCTCGGGCTTTCTCTAAAAAGCTCGGCCCAAGCCCGAGCCCACGCCCTACTTGATAATGTATTATATTAATAAAAATATATTTTATATAATAAAAAGCATATATATAATATATTTTTCTTCTCTTTTTCAAATAATGAGACTTTTCATTAATTTTTAGGTCTTGAGGTCTTTTAGTATAAATAAAACAGCTTTTAATTGAATTTAAAAGGAAAAAAATCTTTTTTTCCAAATTTCTAGTTGGGCTCAGGTTTGGGCCTAGCTTCGGGCTTTATATCAAGGCCAGACTCGGCTCAAGACCTAGGCCCGATGGTTGGGCTGAGCTCGGGCTTGAGCCTGAACATATTCTGTTAATGTAGAGGCAAAGCCCAGCCCGGCCTGGCTCATGAACAAGTCTATTCAAAAACCAAAAAAAAAGAAAGAGGAAACTAGAACAAAGGATCAGTGATCTGGAAATGAGAAAAAATAGGTTGGAGAGAAACAATGATCGACGCACCAACGGAAGCGCACCTCATCATGGCTCTAATACCATGATAAATGAAGCCGAGATGGGAAAGAAAGAATGAATTGTATTTTCTTATTAGACTTGACATCTATTTATAGATACAAAGTTTGACGTCCATGTCAGCAAGGTCGGTTATAACCAACACAAGTCATAAACACATGTATTAGTTTACACTTTGTGATCATTAGGCAATAGAGACATGTGAATATCTCTTTTTCAACAGTCATTATGCTTGATCCATTTGGATTCATGGCCAGATTGGTATAAACCCAGATGCAACTCATAATACAATGTTGCACAAAATCTTTGAAGATTGGAGAAAGGAAAAGCTTATTGGCGTGAGCTGTAAAACTAGGGGATATCCCTTGAATTCAGGGATAACTCTCAGCCTAAGTTGTATGTAACTAGGAGAGGTAGAACCAGAATCTATGTATAATTAGGAGATGCTTGTATATATATTTCTGAACCCCTGCAAAGGAAGAATAATAAAAAAAGAAGAGAGGAACAGTTTCTCATTCTACTCGAGTTATCATAGTATCAGAGCATACCGATCCATGATAAACTCGATGATATGATCGCCGCAAAATCTTGGTCGCTGACAGAGGCTCCATCCTCTGCTATTACCGCTGCAAATCCCTATCATTGCGAAATCTTGGTCATCGAAGGTGATCGCTGCTATCCCCGCTGCAGGTCGTGATCGCTGTGAAAACTCAGTCGCAGGGAGGTGACCACTGCTATCACCGCCGCAGGTTCTGATCGCTGCGAAAACTTGGTCGCCGGGAGGTGACCACTGCTACCACCGCCGCAGGTCGTGATCGCTACGAAAACTCGGTTGCCAGGAGGCGACCACTGCTATCTCCACTGCAGGTCGTGATCGCTGCAAGAACTCGGTCGCCGGGAGGTTGTTCTTCCATATCGTTTTCTCCACCTAGCGATCGAGACAATCAAGGAAAATTTTTTCTCACTGGGAGGAAAGCGAAGAAGCTTCCTAGTTTCGAAGATTGTTCCAGAGCATTCGTTGACAAAAAAAAAACATTGAGGATTCCTTTGCTCTCTGCTTCTTCTTCTTGAGGTTCAATCAAAGTTCTCAATCCGTCAACCGAGATCTCCTGTTATTGATTTTTTGTGGATACCAAGAGGGGACCACCGCTATCACCGCTGCAAATCCTGGTCGCCGCGAATCTTAGTCACCGGGAGGTGACCGCTGCCGTTACCGCTGCAAGTCCGGTGGTGGCTCTATCCACTGCCATTACCGCTGCAACTCCGGCAGTGGATCTATCCAGAACTATCAACCTCACCGCGAACCCCGGGTGGTTGGCTACTATTACTGTCATCGCAAGACCGACAGGTGCTCTGCTGCAATCTCGCTGCCCCATCGTGGTCGACGGTGCTACTACCGCTACAACCCGCTAATAATCATGTCTAATTCGGAAACCTCAGATCCGTTTGGAGAACAACGACCTAATCCTACTCTCACTGAATTGACCACCAGAATGACTGAACTCCTGCACAGACCGATCTCAACWACARAAACCTCTGCTGCTCAGATCGGTATCAAGTTGGATGGCACCAACTATGCCCTTTGGTCCCAAGTTGTTGAGATGTATATATCTGGCAGAGACAAACTGGG